AAAAAAATATTTGTGTACTTTAAAAAATAAAAAATAATAATTAATTTGGGATACATTTATTACACGTCTAAGTAAATGAAGGGTAAAAACATTAGGTTAAACACCTAAATTGATCCCTCAATTATTATATGAATCTCTAATTTGGTCCTTAAAATAAAAAAATCTTTAATTTGATCCTACTGTTTATCAATTACAAATTAATCATTTTGTACAAAAATAGATGACATGCCTTATTATTAATGTGACACATGACTATTAAGTAACGGTTTTTTTGCTGTTAAGTAATAGACATGTCTGTTGTTTTTTAACAAAAGGATCAACTTGGGATTAAATTGATAAACAATATGGACCATATTAGGTTTTTTTTAGTTTAAGAATTAAATTAAAGGTTCATAGAATAGTTGAGGAATCAAATTAAAGATTTAACCAAAACATTATAATTTTATTTATTAAGAAATCTTTCTTTTTCTTTCTCTCCTCTCCCCTCCACTTTATTCACTTTAAAAAACCAATAGTTATATTAAAACTAAAGGAGTAATTAAATATAATATCTAATTAAAATATTGCATCTTAGAAAACTCTTTTTCCATAATTAAATTAAGACTGTTTGTTGTTTGTTTTGAGAAGATTATTTATTAAAATAAAAAAATTGTATAGTTCAAATGATATTAAATTACATAATTTAAATCATTAAAAAGGGTTCAAATCTCCTAATATGTAGTATTCTTATACAATTGTCCTAAAGTTTGTATGTTATTGAGGGACTAATATTATAAAGTTCATGGTTTTGTTTTTTGTTTTTTTTAGTACATATGGTTTAGTATTTAATGTTAAAGGTTTAAGATTTAATGTTTTTAATTAAATACTCTTTTCATTTTAAAATAATTGTCAATTTTTTATTTTACATTTATCCCAAATTAACTGTTATTTTTTCTTTTTTAAGATAGATAAATATTCTCTTATTTTAACTCTATTATTATTCATTGTTTTTACTTTAATTAATTACAGAAAGAATCTATTTACACAAATTCTTACATATCACATTTATACAAATTTTGACTATTTATCTCTATACTTTTTAATAGTTAACATTTATCATGACTTTTTATATGAAAATAATAATTATCTTTAATAAGATGAATAAATTTTAACTATTAATTATCCTACAAAAAACAAAGTCTCTTTATTTTTTATTTTTTTTAAAGATAATATAGGTAAATATAGTACATAAATTGTCCCTAAACTCTTAATTTTAAAAAAAAAGTCAAAAAATAACAATTACTTAAAAAAAAATAGAGTATAAATGTATCCTTTTATTTGGAATAAAGTTGTGAATTTTTAAATAAAAAATATATAAACATATTAATAATGTCATTGGTAATACTATACTTACAATACCATAGAAGATTGTAAATTCACAATAATAACATGTCATTTTTTTAGTAAAATAATTATATGTCATTAAATAAATATAATATGTCATTAAATAAGTAGATATATATAATATTATGAATAGACTTTTAAATTAAAAAATAGTTAACTACTACTCAATTATATTATAAAATTACAATACCATGATATTGTAACTATATTATTTTCATATAATCATTAATAAAAATAGTAGCTAAAATTGACAAACACTGCATTATGATTGTAGATTTTTTATCTTTTCTTATCGTAAAAATATATCAAATGTTAATTAAAATTATTAAAAATATATTATAATATATTAATTAAAATTAATTATTTATAATAAATTTATTTTTTAAAAATATAATGAAAAAAACTGCTATACAATGCTCCTAAAGAAAGCCTCATTTAAACTTTGGTGTATAGTTCATGTGATCACTGTATGAGTTTTCCACCATCACCACCGATTCGGATCTCTTTGTCCCCATTTCCTCTTCTCCTTATACATAATTCCCTTTGTAAAAATAAAAAATAAAAAATAAAAAAATAAGCCTCATCTAGGGATAGACAAAGTTTAATCATTGAAAAACTAAAAATTACAAAAATAAATAAATAATTTGATAGAAACTGTTGAGAAAACCTAAAATAAATGTAAATATCATTAAAAATTTTATATGAAAAGTTTTTGGGCTGAATTTTTTAATTATAATCACCTTAGTCATTAGTAATTTAATTTGCAAACTTAGCAACTAAAATTCAAACCATTTGAGATCAGTTTTGATTCTATTTTTAATAATAATAATAATAATAAAACCTGAACACATTCAAACTCAGCCAGTCAACTATGATTTTAGTTGGTTTCCTCCCCTTTTTTTTTTCAATTGTGAATTTTTACGTTCATCCTTAGTGTCATGGTTACCTAACCAATTTCTAAGTGCACTACAATTCTTGCTTGCGAATATATACACCAGCTAAATAAGTGAAAAAACTACGTTTGAAATAGGGGTAAGCCAAAAATCCACAATTGAAAATAAGTCTAAAATTAACCAAAACCATAACCGTTCAGTAAGGTTTGATTGAGTTTGGGTTTTTTTAATTAAAAACCAAACCAATCCAATTTCAAAAAGTTTGGATTTTGGTTGATAGGTCTAAAAACTTAAAACCAATAACTAGGGTAAATAAAATTGAAAAATCTTGCAAAAAAGCTTTCTATGTAAAATTTTTAATGGTTTCTATAATATTTTAAGGTTTCTCACCACTTTTTACCGAATTATTTGTTTACAAGCGTAATTTTTTGTTTTCTAATGATTAAATTTAATGAAATAATAATAAGAAAATTAATCAAATTAATCCAAGAAAATTCGCTATTTTTGGTTTGGTTAATGGTTTTTAGTATTAAATAACCAAAATTGTGGTTAACAAAAACTGATCCATGCCTACCCCTAGTTTGAAAACCTTATAAACCTAGATGTTGAAATTTTTTTTGGTCGTAGGAAGCCCCTTTTAAGTTTTTTAGTCTTAGGGCTTGTTTGGTATGATAGTTTTAATTCAATGAATAATATGTATTAAATAGTAAATGGTAGATAGTAATAGCAAGTAATGAATAGCAGTAGTGGGTAACGGATAATAAGTAGTGGATAATAAAAAGTAAATAGCAAATAGCAAATAGCAAATAACAAATAGTAAAAAATAAATTTTGATTATAAAATGATTAATGGAATTAATTGATTATTTTTTATATAAATAATATTATAGATTATATAGAAATTACATGGACATTTCATTTAAATATTTTAATACCACATGGCAAAAGAAACACTAAATATTTTAATTAATGGAATTAAATATTTTTTTCTCCTAAACTTCTTAATCCATGAATAAAAAGAATTTAAACGAAATTAATTTTAATTTCTTCATCTTCTTCTTTCTCCTCAGCCTTATCTTCCTCCTCATTCTCATCCTCAGCATCCACCATCCTCTTCAAGTCTTCATCATCCTAGGTTCCCCACAAAACCCAGTTGCTGGGTTCTTCGAAGAACCCAGTTTTTGGGTCTCTCGGGGAACCCAGATCTGGGTTCCAATAAGAACTTAGTTTCTAGGTTCCTCGAAGAACCCAATTTTTGGGTTTCCGACGGAACCCAAATTTGGGTTCCGGCTCTCTTTTTTGTTTCATTTTTTTTTTTAATTTCGAATGTATTTATCTACCATAAAAGAGTCGAATGAAACCAAAATTTCATCATGTTCAGATGTGTTCGATATTTGGGTTTGATATCTGGGTTTGAAATTGCAGGTAATAGGTTGATGTTGTTGTGTTTATGTTGTTATGAGTAAAGTGAAGGATCTATTTTGTAGAGGAGAAATTAATGTTTAAAGTATTGATAAATTATTTTAATTAGTAATTAATTTTTATTTTTAACAATGAAAATATTCTTATGAATTGTGGATTATATCTTGACCAATCTCATATATAAAAGATTAATTATAAAATGAAAACAAGAATTTTGAAAGAAGGAAGATGATAGCTGGAGAGGGAACTGGAAACATTGATTAGAGTTTGTTTTTGTACGGAGAGTTATTAAGTGAGTCATTAAAGTCCACATAAGTGTCTTTATAGGATGGAACGTTCATGTCGGATGTTGCTGTTAAGATAACATGCCATGCTAGCAAAATTTAACGGAAAAACCAAAAGGAGGCTGAATTTTAAAATTTAGGGACTAAAACGGCGATTTTTTTGGTACAAGGATCAAAAAGGGTATTTAACCTTTATTTTTTCATTCATAAGATTGAAACTTAGAATCTTATTTAAAAAAAAAAAACCAAATTTCTTTCACTTGTAACAACATGTTGTTGGTCTTTTTCCCTTTCTCTTTCCTCTTCCTTTCCTTCACCTTCTACAAACCCTAACTCCTTACACACTTCATTCTCTTGCCGCTTATCTAATGAACAGAATTGAAATTGTAGCAATCAAGTGGAGTTTGCTTGCAACGCTTGTGTTTGGTGCCCAATTTCCCTTGTTTGGTGCTGCATCAAGTTGTTGTGCAAGATTGGGTGGCATGTGGTGCATAACGTTGTGGATTGGGCTTGCTATTGTGGGTTGGGTAAGCAGGTCTTTGATACTAACCTCTCGCTATTTGGTAACTACATTGAATCCGACTAATTTGAAATCGAGTCGCGTCGAAAGGCTTGTAGACTCGTGACGCTGAACGACACATTCTCAAACTAAAGCGCACACTCAAAAGTGTTTTGAAAGGTGTCAGCAGGTGCGTAGAGCTAGAGCCCGGCATATTCGCCTGTTGGAACTCCATTTAGGGGGAAGCTTTCTCAGTGTACATGTTTGTTTATTTACAAGACTCAAACTCGAGATTTTATTTAAAAAGAACCGAATTCATGCTTAAGGGGAAACCGAACTCTTTCTATTCGGATCAACAGATCATTGATGGATAAGGAGATCTTTACGGAATATTTTTTATTTTTTTGGTAGAATTATATACTTTAATTTAATACATTACACAATATATTTATTAAAAAATTATTATTTTTTTATATGAAATTAAAAATAAATAAATGATGTAATTACATGATGTTAGAAGTGGTTAAATTAATTATATTTATATATTTGTAGTATATTGTAAAATTGGTTAAATTAATTTAATTTATATTATATTTTTAATAATAAAATGGTATTTCAAACTTTACCAATGATTTTCCTTTCCGATATTGATTTCAATAGTCTCCCCAAAAGAATGAGTTTGGATAAGATTTAAAGGGGGATAAGTTTGAAGTTGCAGAAAGATAGATTTGACTTTGAATGGCTACGAAGTGCATGAACAAAATTGACCAAATCTGGGTTTGATTGATTGCTTTAATTCTTTGCAAAATTCATGCAACAATGTTCATGCGGCTTATGCTTGGTTTCTATGGGATGCTGGAGTCGAAAAGGAGATGAAGAGGAGGAGGAGGAGGAGGAGGAGAAGAAGATGGGGAGGAGGAATTTCAATTTCCGAAGGTCACAACATTTCCACAAACATTGCTTGTCCACATCTCTCTTCTTCTGATTCCGATTCTTTTCTTTAGGGTTTGTATCATTCTTCTTCCGAATCTCATGCCGGGAATACGTATATGGTCTGTTAATCTTGAATTCTTGATGTTTTGATTCTACATTTTGGTTTTGAGGTTTTGGGTAATTGGAATACAGTTATGGAATTCGCAAGATCACAGCTTTTTTTTTTTTTTTTCAATTAATCAATCTGCTTGATTAACAGTTTCTAGATCAAAAAGATGAAAAATTCATCCTTAATTAGGTTTTAAGTTGGAGAATTGGGAATTTTTAGTTGTTCTTTTTATAGAGTTAAAAAGCAAAGGACTTTTTATATTGTATTGTTAAAATTGGGATATAACAAAATAGGGTCATCTGCTTGTCTCAGGAAAATTCTAAAGAATGGTTATCTAGTTTTTAATCCTTTTCCCATTCAACATCTTCAGGGCCATGTACCTTTATCATATGTTTAGATAAAGTCATGCATGGAGGGGATGGAAGGAGAGGTAGATGAAGGGTAACGGGTTGCTTCTAAATTTTATATTTTTAATTCTTTTAATTTGAAAGGATTTGTAGGGGTTTAATTTATTTTTATTTTATTTTTTTATTTTTTTAAAAATATAATTAAAATTTTAATTTTAATTTTAATATATAAATTTATAAAATTTTAATTAATTTATAATTATTTTTTAATTAAATTAAAAAAATATGGTTTTCCCTTCCTCTCATTCCTCATTTTAAATTTATTTTCAAATAAAATTAATACTAATTTTTTACTTTCCTTTCCTTTCTCTTTCTTTTCTTCTCTTTCTTTTTTTTTTTTTTACTAATTTTTATCTAAATGTATCCTAAAGAAAAGGGAGAGAAGAGGAAGAGACTAGAAGGGAAGGGAAGGAGAGTGAAAATTTGGTACTAATTTTGTTTGAATAAATTAAAAAAAGATGAAGGAGGGAAAAGGGGAAAATTACATTTTTATTTAATTAAATAAATTAAAAAAGATTAATGATAAAATTAATTAAAGTTTTATAAATTTATATGTTAAATTTAAAGTTAAAACAAAAATTTTAATTATATTTTTGAAAAAAAAAATTGATTTATTTTAAAATTTTTTCAAACAAAGAAATTAAAAATAAAAAAATTTAGAGAGAGTTCATCACCTCACCGTCTACCTCCCCGCCCTTCCTCCTCCCTCAACGATTTTATCTAAATAAAACAAATGAGAAACCTATCACCCATTCCCCTTTCCACCCCTTTTAACTCTCTCAATCCAAACAGATTAGGGTTTCAAAGAGAAGGTACTTTTAGGGTTCAAATGGGAAGAAATGGGAGAGACTTTCTTTCGCTGCAGGCGTGGGCCTCACTTATTATTATTATTATTATTATTATTATTATTTTTGGGCAGGGCGGGAAGTTTTGTGCAAAATTTATTGTCATGATGTCATCTTGGTGTATTATTGTTTGGGAAATGTTTTTTATAACTTATTTTTTTATTTTTTTATATAATTTGATATATTATTAAAATGATTATTTTTTTTAATTCATATAAGATTCGTGATATTAAATGTATTTATTAATTTAATGATATGTAAAAATTATATAAAAAATAAAATAAAAAAATTATTCATATAGTAGCACTCATTATTGTTTAAAGATAAAGATTTTAGATATATGTAAAATTAATTGGAACAAAAGCACTAAAACTCATGTTATGGAAATGAAAATTAAAATTAAAATCGAATGCATGAGATTATAAGATTTGATTAACAAAAAAGGATTGTTATCAAGGACTTTGCACCTTTTTTGCGTAAATCTTAGTTACAAATTAACAAATTATCAACACATCTACTGATTATTTTTCTCTTCGTTGTGTAAGTCCTTGAATCATGTCCCCTCTGAAAACAGGACTGATGTCTTAGTTTTCCCTGATGGCCTCACCTTTGAGCCACTTTAAATATCTCATTCCTTTGGCATTACATTTTTTTTTTTTTTGCCCTTCCAGGCATTCTTTAGGCATTTTCCAAGCCCTACTGTGTAAAATCAAAAACCTTTCATGAAGTAGCCCTTCTAAACCTTGTCGGGACACTCAAAATGCTGTTAAGTCATATAGACTCACCAAGGACTTAAATCATGGAACAAACTCCTTTTAACACATTTTGTCTATAGTTCCCTAGGGTAAGATTACCCCTCATTTCAAAACTTAACGTCACAACAAGATGACCAATTACTTATTAAGTCAAGATGCTCAAGGAATAGTAACTCCCTCTACCCATCAACCAAATTCTCATTTCGTAAACGTCACAAAAAGATATACAATTATTTAAGCCAAGACGCTCAAGTAATAGTAACTCCCTCTACCCATCAACCAAATTCTCATTTCGAAACTAAACCTCAGAACAAGATATACAATTACTTATTAAATCAAGATGCTCAAGGAATAGTAACTCACCCTACCCATCAACCAAATTCTCTGCAATTGAGCAGCACATAAAGTTTAGTTGCCTCGTACTCCTTTAACAATGCATGACATGACTCCTTCGTTCTTAACTGGTTGGGCAACTCGAACAACTGAAGACTGATAAGTGACCATTCCATTATCAACATATCCACCATCAACGTTCGTCAGGTTCAAATTCAATGTTGTTAATTTGGCCCCAACATAAAGGGGACAAAAGTGTGTTATCTCCAAGATAATGTATGCCACACATATCAAACCTTCACGTATGCTTTATTTTGAACCATCTTCGGATAATGCATCAGTCTATTTGAATAAGGAACAAAGCATTAACTATAACATAAAACTTAGCATACAGAGGCACAAATACCAACATAAAATGACATGGTCTTGACTCATATTTTATGATGTAAATTACCTTGCAATGGAGCTATATAGCTGGAAGCTTTTGAATAGGTCCAAATTATTAGAATCCCATGTAAATACACCTAAGTCGTTGATTAATTTGAAGAGCTTCATTCAACTCCATAAAATAGAAGATATGAGTTGCTCTGCAACTTAAGCTTTCCAACTCTATAATATTGACTGTGTGCCTGAAGAGAGTGGAATATGCATGAATGTTAAGTTGCAAATGTTTACAAATGTGATAAACAGGTCATAACCATATGAAGGAGAAAGCTGGAATAAAGAATTCAAAATTTGAATCAAAAACAAAAACATTCCTAGATGTAAAAGACCTGAATGTATATAATGGCAGGGTTACTGACAATCATTCTCAAGAGATCAAAAGAAAAGTATCCTTTAGTCAAGTAGTAATCAGAATTGATAGCTCAGCATAACATAAGGTCCTCACCTTGATTAATCAATGTGTTGACAACTTTCAAACAATCTAGAAAAAAGCATAAGCCTGAATAACGTCAGAAAATAATAAAAGTTCAAATGTTTTTTCAGTAACATTATAGTTAGTTTCCTCACAAATAAGAGTGACTCTCTTACTTCAAGCTGTCAACTTCTTAAACAAGTAATTTTCTTTCACTTCGTTCTCTTTCTCTTTTTAGAAATACTAATACATGTAAAGGAACAAACTACTAGTTAAAAGGGGGGAAACTGAAACACACAATTATTTTGCTGAAACATTACAAAAAATTCATCTTCAATCAATAGAAAAAGAGCAGGTCTATGATCAATAGTTACATTAAAATTGATGTTTAATTGAATCCAAAGTGGAAAAGGTTATTTACCTTGTCCAGTGCTGCTGAAGTGGAACCAGACAAGTATAGATTAGGTGAAGTGATAATCCCCGCTTCTTTGAAAAGACAATTCTTTAGGCTTTAACCTCAAATCCTATGACTCAAGGTCTAAGAGAGGTTTTATCTCCTCTTTCAGGTTCATTTGCGACACCAATAGTTGAATGCCACCTTCTCCTATGAGATTCTTCACACCATGGGAAGTCCTCTCATCTTCTGAGAGTTTACCAATTGCAGTTTTTATAACCAGAATCTTATCTGGTTGATCTGGAAATTTTCCCACCTCGACCATCTCTTTTAATATGTTAAAAGTCAATGGTAAATTATTGTCAGATAGAAAAGCACTTATTAATGCCACATATACATAACTATCAGGTTCCATTCCCTTTTCCTTCATCTCATGGAAATGAAGAAGTGCTTCAGAGGACCTCCCACACTTGCAAAGACCATTAATGAGAGCCATAAAAGCAATTCTGTTTGGTGCACATCCAATTCTCTTCATTTCATTCCATAGGTTTAGAGCATCGCCAGGTCGTCCAACAGTGCATAATCCATCGATTAAGGTCGAATAGGTGATCACATTTGGGTTCCTATCTTCTCCAAACATTCTGGAAAGGCAAAGCAAGGCTTTGTCAATCTTACCATTTTTACACCACCCATCAATCAATGAATTATATGTAACAACAGAAGGAAGTAGACCCTTCAACATCATCTCATTCAAAAGATCCTCAGCTTCTACAACTCGATGAGCCTTACATAAGGCCTTTATCAGTATGTTATAAGCAATCACATCAGGACAATATCCACGAGTACAGATGTCCTGGAATAGCTCCACAGCTTGATCTAATTCTCCCATCTTAACCAAACCACCAATTGCAGCAGAATAGGAAATTATATCAGGAGGAAAACCTTCTTTAACAATGTCGGCAAGAAATTTGCAAGCATCCAAGGCTTTCCCATGTTTACACAACTCTTTGACAAGCAAGGTAGAATGTTTTGTCCAAGGTTCATGGCCGTGAAACCGCATTTTCCTGACCAGATCAAGTGCTCCTTGAACATCTGCTCTGCTACAAAGACACCCAAATATACAATTGTGGGTAAACTGGGTTGGCTCAAGTCCCACCTCCTTCATTTCTCTCAAAAGTTCAGAACTTTCCTCCAATCTATTTAACTTGCAAAGCTCATCAATCAGATTATTGTAAAGTAATAAAGGTGGCTTACAACCAACTAGAGCCATATCTCGGAAGAGGTTTAGGGCCAAATCTAGTTTATTAGCCTTCAGCAAGCCATTGATAATGATACTAAAAGAGGCTGTATTAGGGGCAATCCTATCTTTTTCAGCTGCTAAGCCACCCAACATATTAACACCATTCCAATCATTCCCCATCATATGTTGAAAAAGTTGGTAAGCTTTATCTATGGAGCCATTGCTAACAAGGCCTTTCAAAAGAGAATTGTAAAGAAAGATCTTAGCTTCCAACTTCTTATCTCCCAGGCATTCATCAAACAATCGCCTAAATTCTCCTTCTGGCAAATAGGATGTCAACTTCATAAGTATTGCAACATCAGGGCAAATTCCCAACTCCTTCATTTTTGAAAGCAAAGAAATTGCTTTCTCAAGCTCATTACTCTTACAGAGTTCACCTATCATCACATCAAAATGTGAAACAGCAGGGTGAATACCAGATTGTAGCATTTTGTCAAATAAATAGAGGGCTTTGTCAACTCTAGATTCCTTCACAAACCCATGAATCAAAACAGAAAACGTCTTCTCATTCAATTTCAGATTGTGCCTTTCCATTCTATCTATCAACCCAATGGCCATATCCACCTCACCCCATTTGCAACAAGACACCACCAAGATAGAGAACACGTGTTCATCTACCCAACCCCTATTGAGAACCTCATTGAAGACACTCAAAGCTTTTTTAAACTTCCCAGCATTGCAGTAAGCAACCAAAACTGGCGTCAATGTGTACCTATCAAATTGCCATCCAAAATCATGCATCTCGTTCAATCTCATCTCCACCATATCAACCAACCCAGACTTTGCAACAGCTTCTAACAAACAATTATAGCTGTAGCTATTTGGTACACAAAGACCCATCTTTTTCACTTGATCGAAAATTTCATTTGCTTCATCACCCAATCCTAGAGTGCCCAAACACCTAAGAAGAAACCCCAGAGAGCCAGGAGACATGGAACAACGAGAATTTATAATATCCCTGACCAAAACTTTCAGTGGGGCATTTTGTCGAGCACCTGATAGAATAGACGCCATGGCATTATATGTATATACATTGTGTTTGTATCCATGTTGCTCTGCAGCCCAAGTAAAAAACAAATGAGCGTCTTTCCAACTGTTCAGACCATTCAAGACACTTTCAACGATCTTATTCGTCAGCTTTGGCCCAAGCCTTTTCAATTCTCGATTGTCTGGGGAAAACGGTTGCTTGGCGATGATGGAGATGAGGTCGTTGGAGACGCTAATCTGATCTGGGGTAAGAAAAATGCCGCCTTGAGCCCCACTGGAAATGAGTCTCTGCAAATATGACGGGAAAAGGTGAATTTCAGAGCAAGGAATGGACAGAGCAATTGGTCTCACAGTTAGGATTAATTTGCAAAGACTTAGAGGGGCTTTTCTGATTCTTAGTAACGCCATGGAGGAGGCTTCAAAGGGAGCTTTGCTCAATTATCTGCGTTGACGTACGGAATTTTGGGCTTCTGGCGTATCTCAGGGTGAAGTGAAGACGACGAAAGCTGAATTTTCAGGCGGGGAATTTGGGGTTTATCGGTAAATCATAGAACCAACAAACTACCCCCTGAAACTATAATTGATGTCAAATTAAGCTCCTTAAATCTATTTAGTTACCAACTTAACCCTGGGAACTAAGCAACATAAAATTAAGATTTAATGTTGAATAAAATCCTTGAAATTTTACGAAATAGAGAATATTAAATATTTTAATACTTCTTCTATTTTACAATATAAGTTATTTGATTTTTTTTATATGTACTTTTAAATCATATTTTTTTATAATATATAA